TTAAAATTATAATATTACATATATTAATTAATTTAATAATATAATTTATGCTACATCATTAATATTAAATTTTTATTCTAAACTGTCGTCTTCCCCTATCATTACTCTTTTCAGATTTCTTGACTTGTTTTGGTATTTTTTATAGAGAAAGAAAAACACCTAAAGCGCTTGGGCATTGGGTGGTGACGTTGCATTGGATGGTGGCCCAATGCCGAACACTTGTTACAACATTGTTTGTGCTCAACCAGTGAACAGTTCACCGCGCTTTGTTGTATGTCTCAAGGTTAACTAGATGATAAAACTTTACTTTTTAAAACTTGTTTAATTTGTATTTTAAAAATATAAGTTAAGAATATAATAATTATATTTTTTTATATTAATTATTATCAAAAATACAAATATTATCATTAACTTCATCATTAGTATCATTTAAACTATTTTAATTAGATAATTATTTAAATAAAAATTAATTTTTATTTTTTAATAGTAATTAATGTGAAAAAAATGCAATAATTACTTCCTGTTTAGAAAAATCCTTACTTTTAACAGTTGTTTAATTGATCAATGACCACGTAGGTGAACAATGGCACGCTTTGTCTCAAGCCCTTTTATTGTTTATCTTCCAAAGCCTCGAACATCCAAAAGAAAATTATAGAGAATGAAGGGAATAAAAAGACTTGTGTTACATTAGAGAGAGCATTAAATGAACCATGTGCAGCTTTCATATGGGCATGCCATTTGCATCCAAGAACTTCAAGACAAAACACATTCTAAGAGAAGAATGTTTGTATGCCTGTCTTTGTCATACATTATTGTTCAATCAAACGATAATGAGGACCTAAGAAAGATTCTTCCTCCCAATATTCTAAGCTCTGTCTTTTACCCTCCCGCAAAACCAAGTGAAAAGAAAAAGGCACCCATCTTCTCCAAAAGCTACAAAAGGGGCTTTTGGGGCAAAAAGCCAAAGCATCCTCTAATCTATCATGCCTCCAAACATATCCTTCCAAGTACTATACTTTCAACTATGTTTTGGAGCTTTCTTCATGTCCACTTCTGCTTTTGCCTCGTCCTTCACTTTCACTACCCAAAGTAGTCTCTTAGATTGGCCACAACCTTTTCTTCTTGGACTTTGCAGCTCCCTTGCCGATTCTCATTCCCTTTTCTAAATCATTTAGACTTTCATTGATCCTCTAAACACCTTAGTTTAACACAACCCAACATTCCATCATATATATATAGAGACACTAGAGTTCATTTGTTTTGCATCCAAGAGGAGGTCAGAAACATAAACTCTGTACCTCAT